CGGCGGCCGTACGGTACGGTCGTACGGTACGACCCACCGTACGTAGTACGACTACCTTACGTACGTAGAAAAGGAAAAAAAGAAAAAAGTAACAAACTACAACCTAACCAAAACTAAACGACTACGTAGTGTCCTCCTCTCTCTCTCTCTCTCTCTCTCTCTCTCTCTCTCTCTCAGGTCCATGTGCTCTCTCTACATATGAGATGAATATCCTCGAAGTGTTCGATGCACGGCCTCTTTCACACACACACACACACATAGGTACACATGGACCCATATGCTCCCTCTTTACATGTAAGAAGAAGAAAAAAAGAAGATGACCTCCAAGTGTTCGAGACCTCTCTCTCACAAATACAAATCCAAAAGAAAAAAAGAGGATGATCTTTAAGAATTTTATGCAAGACCTCACGCACATACATACTACGCATGCACACACAAATGCTAAACACATACACACACATTACAACACACACGCACACAAAACCACATATGGCTCCCACCCCAACTCTCTTCCCTTAGGGCCGCCCAAGAATCTGGGCGGCCGGCTAGGCAGTCAAGGCCCTTGGCCACCTCTGCCTTTTTTAACATTGCATGTACATCTGACAGCCGCATTACCGAGAGGCAGCCCTAAAAAATGATACGTATACATGTGCATAGAGAGAGTCCCCTTTTGCATTGTAGTGATATGTGCTTAGCTTCCTCTTAAAGGGGGGGGGAAGAACTGTAACGTACATTATGGAATTGTGGCTTCATTGTTTATTGACCAACTTTAATGAGCCAATCATGAACCCTGTATGAGACTGTGGGTCATGGGCTCTCGTTGGGTCGGTTTGAGAAGACAGTTGTGGATCATGATCACTGGGTCGAGTGGAGTGCCCTTATAGTCACTTATCTTGACCTAGATATTTTATTTTTGTTATTAGAAATATTTTTATGAGTTTTTGAAATTTTTAAAATTATTTTCTGCTGTATATTCTTTGTAAAGGGTATTTTCATAATTATTGGATAAAGGAAGGGCACATGTGGAACCGTTGGATTCAACCCCACGTCTACCACTCCCCATGGGTGAGTAACCCCTTAAAACCCTAATTGTATTTTAATGCTCTCTAAACCCTAGATTGAAAGGTACTGCCTAGAGAAGCTTCCGGACTCTGAAATTTCAGCAAGATTAATGGATAAAAAGTGTGCCATAGTCAGGTAATCAGATGTGGGGTGTACCAAGTCCTATGAGAGTAACCCTAGGCACAATCGAGTAAGTCTTCCTAGCTGTTTACTTTTATTTTTCAGTCATATTTCCATATGCACTGTAATTTTCCAGAAACATTATTTACACTTGAATTGTTAGTGGAAGATTGGTTTTTTATTTTTTGAGAGATAGATTGGTTTTCTATCAATAGATTGTGTTTATCTATTTTGACAGTAAAAGGAAAGATCCTAGGTTGTATTTAGGGTTTTAATTTACATTTACAACAGTGTATTGTGGCTGGCATTTGTAAATTCAAATTCAATAATAAAGAAGAAAATAAAATTTTTGATTTTATAGCAATGAATTCTACATAGCCACACATTTCACACCAAAACTTATAGCCTCAAAGATAAGTTGCCAGTTGTGCCTCCCCAAAATATACATGAAAATTTCAAAGGTACTTGAGCAATGCTGGGACAAATTTAGAATGTATTAAGTCATGAGTAGTATAAATTGGAAAACATGCTAGCTTCTTAAAACTCCTAGATTACTTCCCTGAGAATCCCCATTCTGAACCTAATTGGCAGAGAACAAACAATGATACAAGAAGAGAACTTAACCTAGTAAATGCTGGATACATGGCGTCCATGATGAGGACAGACAATGTGTCAGGTATGATGTAGCAACAATGGACAACTAGGAGACCTATATATGCCTGGAGGCATGAAACAGTATATGGGACTAGAGAGATCTCTGCTCATCATCCAAGGCACTTGATCTATGAAGACAAAATACCTTTTAAAACTCCTAGATTACCTCCCCTAACAACTGCCATCCCGAGTCCAAAACATGGCATTTGAGACCAACCATTGATAGAAGCAAAGAACTTTACTAAGTAAATGCTGGATATATGGCAGTTACCCACAATGAGAAAATATGTCAAGTATTACATTGTGTCACTGGGTATCTAGGAGTTGTTTCAATGCCTGGAGGCATGAAACTATGAAACAGTATATAGCACTGGAGAGATCTCTAGACATTTTGGAAGGGGATTGCTGTTACTTATTTATTGCTCAATTTATCACTCATATAAGCAACAATACTAGAACTAGAAGCTATGTATGCTTTTAAATATGCCAATGACTGCACTGAACAGTTCATAACAATTCTGAACTATTATGGATTAAGCAGGGTCAAAACAAAAGGAACAGATTTCCAATCATTGCCAACATCAGAGTCCATATCCAAAAAAAATCTAACATTGGGATCAATAAGCTACTGATTATCACATAAAACTCTCTTTCTTGACCAGTCCATTTCTCAGATAGTCAACCCATTGTATCAGTGGTTTCCTTCGTTTAGTTCAACCTCACTTCCCCTTCTTCTTAAAAGGATGTAAGGGGATCTTTTGTCTATGAAATAGAATCCCAAACAAAGGAAAGTTTTTGTGAATTTTATGAAAAGTTACAAATCTACATGAAGATCATTCCGTTGAGTACATTAGAATAAAAACCAGATGCCTTAGAAAGAAGCAAGACTCACAAGTGGGAAGCGCAAACATCCAACCATAAAGCTTCCATCCTGCACAAAAGAGCATGCTATACAATTAGGAAACAAATAGATATGAAAAGATGTAGCACGCACTTATTGACATATTTAATCTCCAAAAACACAAGTCTAACACTGAAAAGAGACCATTTATCTTTTGTAAATGGAGGTCACAATCATTCCACTCATTAGATATCAAATTGGATGGCTTTGGGTGAGTCACGAAGTCTGAGAGTTTTTTTTGGAACTTTGTGTGTGTTCAATGACACTCTTACAAGAATGATTGTGACCTCCATGTACAAAAGATAAATGGTGTCTTTGTATTATAATATATAAATTATATATACATATATATACTCATCACATAGACCGTATTTGGTCTGGCAACAGGCTGGGCTTGGGCCGGCCCGGCCCGGCCTTGTCCCTAGACCGGTCCGACGACCTAATAAAAATATAAAAAAATTGAAAAATATAAAGGAAACTATAGAGCCGGACCGGGCCAGGGCAGCCCTGTCATGGCCTGGCCCTCAAGCCACAAAACAAGCCCTACTCTTTCGGGGCAGGGCTGGGCCAGGCCACCTGGCCCATTGCCAATCGTATTCCATATTTGGTCCAAAAAGGAGAGCCATCGATTCAAAGC